TCATCCCACATTGGTGCTCGGTGTCGCTAAAAATGGCGCAGGGTTGCCTGAGCCAGATGCAGCTGAGCCAGCTTGCATGGCAAACCATACCACATCCTGCTGCTGGAATCTAGGCCCCATGCTTTGAGGCCAGAAAATCTGACAGCGCTGGAATTGCCTTCAAAACACTGGCGAGCAATGTCAACTCTGACAACTTGGCGTTCCAATGAATGTGGTATCTGGCAATCAAACTTTACTTCAATCTACTTACTGTTCTGGGGGGGAGTGGCCAAGGCCCAAGGTCAGCTGCAGCGATTGACTTGCCCCAAGGGCATTCACAAACTCAAGCTGCCTTCAGCCTCGTGCCACGAACTTGCGGAAGCCCCACCTTTGCCAAGCAAAACCAGCTTCAATAAGCGTGGTTCTCAAGCGCGGTCGTTTCCTCTGGCCGCCAGTTGTGACGTTTTCCGCTGCAATCCAATGCAAAGCCCCTCGCTGCCCGATCGTGTGCTCTCATGTCGTGTCAAATGTCCCTTCCGGCATATTGGCAGCTTTTGTTTCCACTCCTGATCAAGCTGCATGATGAATTGACAGAAACCGGCTAGGAGCTGTCTGTCTTGGGCATTCTCTTCAAGGGTCACTTTGTAGGCTTGACAGAGACTGAAAGGATCTGGGGAGCAGACCCAGCCATACCTTAAGCATGAATTGAGACGTGCCGCTGTGAACACTTGAGGTGGGCACGGCTTTCGGATCACCATTCGGTCGCTCAAATCGAGCATGATTTTTGGCGCTGCAACCTCCTGCTGGAGCTCCTGAAATTGAAAGATGCTGTGTTCACCTACAGCCTAGGAACATCTCTCGGCCCCTGTTCGCTGCATTGTGCCCGGCGGGTTCTCTGTACTTTCTACAGTGACTCAACAGGTCTGGGAATTGGAGCAGCAATCCACCCGTGGAAATGCTGTCTGGAAACAAGCCTTGGACATCACAAGACTTTGAAGTAACCGAAAATATTGCAGCACGTGCAGCCTGACTGCGTATGATGCCAGCATGCACACGCGCAGTCCATCCAGGCTGCTTTATATACTCTCCGCAGCACAGCTATTCCGAAAAGCCGTGGTGCTTGTTGTTGTCATTGTTGTTGTTGTTGTTGTTGTTGTTGTTGTTGTTGTTGTTGTTGTTGTTGTTGTTGTTGTTGTTGTTGTTGTTGTTGTTGTTGTTGTTGTTGTTGTTGTTGTTGTTGTTGTTGTTGTTGTTGTTGTTGTTGTTGTTGTTGTTGTTGTTGTTGTTGTTGTTGTTGTTGTTGTTGTTGTTGTTGTTGTTGTTGTTGTTGTTGGTTGTTGTTGTTGTTGTTGTTGTTGTTGTTGTTGTTGTTGTTGTTGTTGTTGTTGTTGTTGTTGTTGTTGTTGTTGTTGTTGTTGTTGTTGTTGTTGTTGTTGTTGTTGTTGTGCTTGTGGATGTTGGTTGCTGGCTGCTGGCTATTGGCTGTTGGCTGTTGGCTGTTGGCTCTTATCTGTTGTCTGTTGTCTGTTGTTCTTGTTGCTGCTGATGCAGCTGCTGTTGTTGTTCCTGCTGCTGCTGCTGTTGTTGTTGTCGTCGCTGTCGCCGTCGTCGTACTTGTCGTCGTTGTTGTCGTTGTTGTCGTCGTTGTCGTCGTTGTCGTCGCTGTTGTGTTGTTGTTGTTGTTGTTGTTGTTGTTGTTGTTGCTGCTGCTGCTGTTGCTGCTGCTGCTGCTGCTGTTGTTGTTGTTGTTGTTGCAGCTGCGGTTGTTGTTGTTGCTGCTGCTGTTGTTGTTGTTGTTGTGGTCGCCGTCGCCGTCGTCGTACTTGTCGTCGTTGTCGTTGTCGTCGTCGTCGTCGTCGTCGCCGTGGTTGTTGTTGTTGTTGCTGTTGCTGTTGCTGTTGCTGTTGCTGTTGCTGTTGCTGTTGCTGTTGCTGTTGCTGTTGTTGTTGTTGTTGTTGTTGTTGTTGTTGTTGTTGTTGTTGTTGGTTGCGTGTTGCGTGTTGCGTGTTGTGTGTTGTGTTGTGTGTTGCTTGTTGTTTGTTGTATGTTGTGTGTCGTTTGTTGTTTGTTTGTTGTGTGTTCTTTGTTGGTTGTTGGTTGTTGATTGTTGTTTGTTGTTTGTTGTGTATTGTGTGTTGTGTGTTGTGTGTTGCGTGTTGCGTGTTGCGTGTTGTGTGGTGTCTGTTGTGTGTTGTGTTGTGTGTTGTGTGGTGTGTGTTGCTTGTTGCTTGTTGCTTGTTGCTTGTTGTGCGTTGTGTGTTGTGTTGTTTGTTGTGTGTTGTGTGTTGTGTGTTGTGTTGTTTGTTGTTTGTTGTTTTGTGTTTGTTGTTTGTTGTTTGTTGTGTAAAGTGTGTATTTGTTGTTTGTTGTTTGTTCTGTGTGTTGTGTTGTGTGTTGCGTGTTGTGTTGTGTGTTGTGTGTTGTTGTGTGTTGTTGTGTGTTGTGTGTTGTGTTGCGCTTGTCGCTTGTTGTGTGTTGTGTGTTGTGTGTTGTGTTGTTTGTTGTTTGTTGTTTGTTGTTTGTTGCTTGTTGCGTGTTGCTTGGTGTTTGTTGTTTGTTGTTTGTTGTTTGTTGTTTGTTGCTTGTTGCTTGTTGCTTGTTGCTTGTTGCTTGTTGCTTGTTGCTTATTGCTTGTTGTTTGTTGTTTCTTGTTTGTTGTTTGTTGATTGTTTTGGTGTGTGTTGTTTGTTGTTTGTTGTTTGTTGTTTGTTGCTGTTGTTGTTGTTGTTGTTGTTGTTGTTGTTGTTGTTGTTGTTGTTGTTGTTCTTGTTGCTGTTCTTTTTGTTGTTGTTGTTGTTGTTGTTGTTGTTGTTGTTGCTGTTGTTGTTGTTGTTGTTGTTGTTGTTGTTGTTGTTGTTGTTGGTTGTTGGTTGTTGGTTGTTGGTTGTTGGTTGTTGGTTGTTGGTTGTTGGTTGTTGGATGTTGGTTGTTGGTTGTTGGTTGTTGGTTGTTGGTTGTTCGTTGTTGTTTCGTGCTTCTTGTGTGTTGTGTGTTGTGTGTTGTGTGTTGTTTGTTGCTTGTTGCTTGTTGCGTGTTGCGTGTTGCTTGTTGCTTGTTGCTTGTTGCTTGTTGCTTGTTGCTTGTTGTTTGTTGTTTCTTGTTTGTTGTTTGTTGATTGTTTTGGTGTGTGCTGTTTGTTGTTTGTTGTTTGTTGTTTGTTGCTTTTGTTGTTGTTGTTGTGGTTGTGGTTGGTTGTTGGTTGTTGGTTGTTGGTTGTTGGTTGTTGGCTGTTGGCTGTTGGCTGTTGGCTGTTTGCTGTTGGCTGTTGGCTGTTGGCTGTTGGCTGTTGGCTGTTGGCTGTTGGCTGTTGGCTGTTGGCTGTTGGGTTGGTGTTGGGTTGGTGTTGGTGTTGGTTGTTGGTTGTTGGTTGTTGGTTGTTGGTTGTTGGTTGTTGGTTGTTGGTTGTGTTGTTGGTTGTTGCTTGTTGCTTGTTGTTGTTGGTGTTGGTGTTGTTGTTGCGTGTTGTTGTTGTTGTGGTTGTGGTTGTGCTTGTGGTTGTTGCTTGTTGCTTGTTGCTTTGTGCTTTGTGCTTTGTGTTTGTTGTTTGTTGTTTGTTGTTTGTTGTTTGTTGTTTGTTGTTTGTTGTTTGTTGTTGTGTTGTGTTTGTTGTTGTTGTTGTTGTTGTTGTTGTTGTTGTTATTGCTAGTGTGTTTTGTTTGTTGTTTGTGTTTTGTTTGCTGTTTGTGTTGTTGTTTGTTGTTTGTGCTTTGTTGCTGTGTTGCTGTTGCTGTTGCTGTTGCTGTTGCTGTTGTGTTGCTGTTGCTGTTGCTGTTGCTGTTGCTGTTGCTGTTGCTGTTGCTGTTGCTGTTGCTGTTGCTGTTGCTGTTGCGGTTGCTGTTGCTGTTGCTGTTGTTGTTGTTGTTGTTGTTGTTGTTGTTGTTGTTGTTGTTGTTGTTGTTGTTGTTGTTGTTGTTGTTGTTGTTGTTCTTGTTCTTGTTCTTGTTCTTGTTATTGTTCCTTTTCTTGCTATTGTTCCTATTCTAGTTTTTGTTGCTGCTGCTGTTGCTGTTGCTGTTGCTGTTGCTGCTGCTGCTGCTGCTGCTGGTGCTCGTTGGAATTTCTTCTGAGGGTGGGCCTTGTCTTTGAAAAAAACATAATTTACAGGGTATGTGACGGTATGTGTCATTGACTGCGACTGCGCCTCATCTTGCTTGCCCTTGCAAGTCCGCTGCTTAAGGCCGCGTTTGCCGTGGGATTGCTTGGCTGTTGCATGCCTTTGCTTGCTGTTTGGCTGGCTTAGCTTGCCTTGGTCAGCTGTTACTTTCCTCGACGCACTTTGGTTGACTCCTGCTTGCCTGCCTGCCTGCCTGCCTGCCTGCCTGCGTGCCTGAATGCTGGGCTGCTTGCTTGGCTGCAAGGCTGCTTGGTTGCTTGGTTGCTTGGCTGCTTGGTTGTTTCTTGGTTGCTTGGTCGTTTGGTTCCTTGGCTGCTTGGTTGCTTGGCTGCTTGGTTGCTTGGTTGCTTGGTTGATTAGCTGCTTGGTTGCTTCGTTGCTTGGCTCCTTGGTTGCTTCGTTGTTTGGTTGCTTGCTTCCTGGGTTGATTGGCTGCTTTGCTGCTTGGCTGCTTGGCCGCCTGCTTGCCTGCCTGCCTGCCTGCCTGCCTAAATGCCTAAATGCCTAAATGCCTGAATACTTGGCTGCTTGCTTGGCTGCACGGCTGCTTGGTTGCTTGGCTGCTTTCTTTCTTGGTTGCTTGGCTGCTTGGTTGCTTGGCTGCTTTGTTTTTGGTTGCTTGGTCGTTTTGTTCCTTGGCTGCTTGGTTGCTTGGCTGCTTGGTTGCTTCGTTGCTTGGCTTCTTGGCTTGGCTGCTTTCTTTCGTGGTTGCTTTGCTGCTTGGTTGCTTGGTTGTGTGGTTGCGTGGCTGCTTGCCTACTTGCTTGGTTGTTTGGTTGCTTGGCTGCTTGGTCGCTTCGCTGCTTCGTTGCTTGGTTGCTTGGCTGCTTGGTTGTTTGGCCGGTTGGCTGCTTGGTTGCTTGGTTGTTGGCTGTGTGGCTGCTTGGTTGCTTGGTTGTTAGGTTGCTTGGCTGCTTGGTTGCTTGGTTGCTTGGCTGCTTGGTTGCTTGGTTGGTTGTTTGGTTGCTTGGTTGCTTGGCTGCTTGGCTGCTTGGTTGTTGGTTGCATGGTGCCTGGTTGTTCGGTAGACTGCATGGTTAGTCACTTGCTTAATTATTGGACGCTGGGTTTCTTGCTTTCGCTTGCTTCTCCTTGGCACTGTTGTCTCTTGCATTCAGTCGCGCGAGTGACAGTTTGTCTTTAGATGTTTTCTTGACAGAGTTTTGCTGGGAGCTCGTAGGCACACTGCGAGTCCTGTCCTCCACATCGCAGTCCGAAAGGCCACTCAATTTGGATACCCGCATGTTGTCCTGGACCTACATACAAAGAATTGCATCTTCATAATGGGTGAAATTGAGCCCTCCCAAGCTCACATATCTCAGCAGGACCACAATTAGCAGGCCTGACCGAAGCGTAACAACGCTGATCGGACACACCTAGCATGGGCATGGGTCCCGGAGTCAAAGCATACATGCCGGAGCCATGCCGTACCAAGCCATCCAAGCCGTGCAACTTACATGTTCAAGTCGACACGGGTTGGCAAAAAGTCCAAGTCTCAAACTTGAGGCATCACACGCTAGGTCACGAGCAAATCAAGCTTGGCATCTGATAGCGTGGCTGACTTGAAAGCCCAGGCTGATGCACAGACCTGAGCAAAATTGCATCATTCCAATGGATAATTCGGCACAAAGAGGTGGCCTCGACTTCCATGGGGCGTCGGGTCGCCTGAGCTCCAAAATGCTCGAATGATCTCGAATGATCTCGAATCCTTGTCACTTGCGTTGCGTTGCAAGGTTTCCACTCCGAGTCCTGCCTGCGGTCGCAAGCGCAGTAAGTGCTGCAACCTGGCGACTGAACCCTCGCACTGCAAAAATATATATATATATATAAAGCCGCATTGCCGTGCGGCCTTCTGGAAAGCGCAAGAAAGACTGTAGGATCCACGTGTTTGGCCGCAGCAAAAGCCCAGCAGGTGTTGGACGCCTCAGGTTGCTCGTTTCAGCTGCAATTCACAGTGCACGAAGCCTCACGTTAGCCGCAAGTGGCGAGGTCATGGTTACATGGTCGTTTGCAATTGCGATAGCACAGTCAATGTAAGCCTGTGGCCGGCTGGAGTGGAAACAAGTCGGCTTGCGCCAAAACCTCGAAGTTGCAAGTTGACATGTAATGCTTGCCCCCTTCAAGCATCTCAACTTGCGACCCAGCCTGATTCCCCAAAGTCTGGGCAAAGGGGGCTGAAAGCGCCGTTGTTGAAGAGAACGCCCAAGCAATATTGGACAACCCCTGTGCCTTGCATACGCGGCTCGCTTGACAGCGGAATGCAGCCAAAGCAAGCTTCCAAGAAGGGCTTCCTCGTAGAACCGTCAACCAATTGCTAACTCGGTCGCGAGCGCTGAATTCAGCAATTCGCAAAGCAACCTCCTTCTCAACGATGTGGAGAACGCAACGGCCAGCCTTCCTAGGGCAAGACAGCTCAAGCAACCAAGGAACTGGAAAGGCAATTAATTGATGGCGGGCCTGTTCTCAAGATGCGGTGTGTGCTCATCCAGTATGTCATTGCGTGTTTTTCCCAAACAGCCCGGCAATGTTTCCATCTCTCAACACCGCAGCACGCTCTTTCGTGGAAACGACTTGCGCCGCTCGCATGGACCCCAGCGTTTTTGCGCGTGTACCCCACTTCGGCAATCCATCCAATTCATCGTACGAGGCTCAAGTGGCCATAGCCTTCAAGACCTTACAATCAAACGTTGTGTATGCCCAACAGTTCCTTGCGTGCTGCAACTGTGGGACTGGCTCCGCAGATCGAGAGGCGAAATAGGCGACATACCAAACGTCAGCAACACAACTTCCCCTGCGGCAGGTCTTTCGCTCTGAGCTCGGTGAGAGCAATCCGATGTTCCGATCAGAAAGACGATCAACTTTCAATGAACCATCCTGGTGACAAGATTCAGGTAGCATTTCTGGAATAAGAAGGGCTGGAAGCTGATACAAAAAGGCGACGTGAGCCCGCAAATCATTGTGGATGGAAGGAACACTGCCCAAGAATGAAACAAACCTTACAAAGATCTGCAAGCGCCCAACAACTCTTCTTTGCATCGTTCGGCGTAGCATCGCGCAGATGCTTTGCCTCGTGCACAAGAGTGTTCCTTCAGTCATCCGGGGCAGTCACCCATATCCTTCACTGGTAAAACATCACGAAAAAGTCTTTGATTATATGAATTATGACAACCAAGGGGAATAATTTCAGTCGCCAAGGTTTGAAAGGATTTCCCGGGACATCCGAGAGTTCTCGAACATTGAGCACTCTTGCCAACTCTTGCTTGCGGAGGCAAGCGCCCACCAAGACAACCGGCAAGTCAGTACGGCTGCCTGCCAGGGAGAAAGAACAACGGAGTGGCCGGGATCAAGTTACGAAGTTATGGCCACCGTCGGGACCAAAGAGAGGGTCAGCAGAGGGAAGAGGCCGGCAGCAAGGCAACGAGTCCAGACAGCACCCAGGAGAAGACCCGGGCTTGGCGGACGCACCACGCCGGGATGGTCGAGGGGCTCAGAGTGGTGCATCTAGCTTGACGAGGTGAGGCAGCTAATTAGCAGACCCTCCAAACATTGCACAGACCCTGCGAGCGTGCAGCGCAAGGCGGATGTACATCAAAATCATTTCGACAAGCATAGATGATGGCTTTTATGTTCTATATTATTGGATCACCAAGCACCAGACTACACACGATCTCTCATCCGTTCAGACTTAACGGTTTGCTTCTGGTTCCGAAAGTCACTTGATTTCCGGCTTGAATCTTACTTTGTTACACCGTCTCGCACTTCAACTCGCGTCATAAGTCTTACCTCGCAGCTTTGAGAGTGAGCTCCCGCACAACGCTATTCAAGGCGTCAAGCCGTGGGTGTGAGTCAACTTGGTTCGAGCTCATAGCACACTCCGCGCAAACGCCAGCATGATTGTCAGCTTCCGAAAGGATGTGCCTGTGTGTGCGGCTTGTTTCAGTCGCTGTTGCTTCCAATGGCCACTTGGCTCAAGGTCTAGAGTTTCGTATGGCCCACACAGCCGAAAGAAGCATCCTGCTCTGCTTGAGCTGTTGCAAGAAAAACAACATGCAAATGATGATACCAATGCACAAAATCACAACAGTGCTGCCAACTGACTCGAATCTGCATAAATGCACACTCTGCTGTGCGCGCGAAAACCTCAGCAAGCACTGATACTTTTTACTACGCGAATGTGTGGGAAGCCAAATGGTCAAGCAAAACAAGTAAGAGCGGCTGATCTGTCACTGGCTGCATGTTTGCTGCGCAGCACCAGGCCAGGATTGAAACCGCCTTGTGTGGCCGGTCCCTCTCAAATGCTGGTAGTGCTTCTTGCTGCCTGCGGTGTATTCTCTGCCAGTCCCCGTTTGTAGACCTCTTGTAGACAGGCCTGAGCACGAAGAGCGTGCAACGGAGCGGGTGCAATTCGTCTGTGGCCTCCAATCCGCTGTGGAATGTCAGTGTTGCAAAAGCCCAGGACAGATTTGCTAAACCTTCAGGGCGTCAGCAAACAAACAAGGCACTGCAAGGCATCCCGCGAATAGGGCTTGCTCCGGTTCATTGGTTCAACGTGTCTTTCCCAAAGACCTGGTATTTCTTGCAGGCTTCAGTCTTGTTCGCAATGCGTCCCGCCTTGCGGGCTGAACTGCTCCGCCAAGTCTATAAATCGCGAAAATGCCGCTTCACACAAGCTGTCCTTTGCAATGTGGCACCTGAGAAAGAAGGAATGGCTTTCCATGTGAATGTTAGGAAAGCAGCAGCCATCACAAAGCCAACCTAAGAGCACTGCTTTGCATATGCCCACATGAAGGTCGAAACGTCTTGTGGTGAAAAGCAGCTCAGCTTCTGCACGGCCTGCCATTTACGTGGAAGTTGGGAAGCGGTCTGAGCATTATCCTCTCGGTTGAGTCTGCCTCTGTCAAATTGCAAGTCTGACTTCTTGTAATTTCACATGTTTGAGGTTGAAGGCTTGGGGGCTAACTGGCTAAGAGCTTGTGCAGCATTCGCCTGATGAAAGAACATCTGCTGTGGTGCGGGGGCAATCATCACAGCAAAGGGATATGCAAAATACATGTCACAGGCACAACAGAGACTAAGGCCATTGATTGTTGTGTAGTCAGATCAGTCACTGCCCAGCCTGCAAGCATCTCAGCTGTCTGTTCAAGAACTCATACTATCCAATTCACTTAAGCGTCAGAAAATGCAACTGGCAACCAAGCCTTGCAAATCCCCGGCAGTCCAAATGGACACATCTGGCAACCCACAGCTTGCTGTTGTCTGCTATAGACTTCCCCGGATTGGGCAAGCAATGTCATTTACCAGCCACTCTCCCCAATCCCAAATACGCTTTCAATAAACTCCTAGGACGACAACAGTGTAACAATGCAGTGTTGACATATAGCAGCTTGGATTCCTGGATGAACGTGGTTCAGTTGAGTCTCTTGAGTGAGCAGGGAACACGAAGCATGTGCATGTCGTGTGTTTGCTTCCATTCCTTGCGAACTAATGAGCATGATCATGACTATGTAGACCACAGTGTTCTAAGTGCCTGAAGCTCTGAACTTATCTTTGTTGATCGTAATATTTGTCGGTACAGTAGCCTATTTCCCAGCCAGCCTCACGACATCAACAAGCGCATCAAAGCCAGCCTGCTGAAGCAGTCCTAGCAGCATCTCAATGTGACATTTGGCAATCACCAAATAATAATGCATTGACAATGATCAACGCCGAGCTGAGTGTTCTGCGCGGAAGGATTCGTTTCGCGTTCACCTTGGCATCACAGCCCATTGCAATTGCAAGCGCTGTTGTCTGGCTCGATTTGGCCCTTCGTGCTTGGATGTGGTGTGCAGAACGGTGCCAGTCATGAAGCATCCCGCTTCTGCACTGACAACCGCCAACATGCAAGTGGACTCAAGCTGCACTAAACAAACTCACCAATCCGGCTCCTACTCCAATGCCATTCTTGTGAACTCAAGAAATGCCTGCTTGCCAGCTGAATGTGCTAAGTACCTCACATCGGATAATTTTGCCACGGCCCATGCGAAGGCAGCCAGGTCACGTGCTTCAAAACCTCAGCGTGTCTAACTTACACCAGTCACTGTAAGCTCAGACATATGAAAACATCCACATGATCGCGTCTATCAACAAAGCGGATATACCAAGCCTTGCAACATCACTGCTGACGGAGGAGTGAAGAAGAGAAAGATCCATCCCGAATATGAATATGATCCTTTGCGTGCTTCTCATGAAGCTTAAACAGCGGCCCTTGTGAATTTGACAGGATCCGCAAGTTGCGAGTAGCCATCATGAGGATCACCTGCAAATACACAAGCTGTCACCAAGGATGTGTCCTGAGACTGCACTCAAAGTGCAGGACAATGCGGGACGAAGTGCTACTGTGCTACTCTTGCAGAAGCCAGCGACCAAGCAAAGATTTGCAGCTTCACTCCCCTCCTGCGTTCGGCTTGTTGCCAAACTCCACGACAACTGAGCCAGAGCCTCTGACCAACGTTTTCAATGATTGCAACATCACGGTGAATTTGGATGTCAACTCTACATGCGTCCAATGCGCCTTGGGAGGGAGAGGTTCTCTCACAGCCAGCTGAACTGCAAACTCGCAATTCTGCCGATCCTGACAAAGTGATGCAGCGATGCAAGTGATCCATGTCCGATCCGTCCAAGGCACCCTGAGCTTGGCGAAGCTCTGGGAGAGAGAAACCAAGCGGGCCAAGGGCAGCTCCTTCGCAAGCTGCAAGCGGCATACAAGCTGCATGCTTGTTTCATTTCGCTCTTGGGGGGATAGCCGCAAGCTGAAGGCACGCCAAGGTTGCTTTGCAATCTGCCAGTCCTGAAGTTGATCAGGTGGCAGGACCTTGCCAGCGTTGCTGCAGACTGCAGCCCAAACATCAACGATTTTGCAGCACATGACGGAATGATTTGCCATTTGCCGTCCGCCTTAAACCCAACAGCAGGTGGCTGCACGGCTTTTTCCCGGCTTCGCCCATTCCGGGTGGCATTCATGGTTCGAAATGCTTGACACCCGTTCCGTGTTTCTGATGATCTTCAGCGTCGTTGGAATATATTAACTTTCGGTATGCACATCTTGCGTGCCGTTTCTAGGCTCACTCCCTTCAACGGCTCAACCTTGATCTCATAAAGAGTGGGCCAAAGCTTGCCAGTGACCTCAAGCAAATGAGTTGACCAATCATGTCTTTGGCGCATGCGGAACTGGGGCTTCTGCAAAGAGTCGCTTAGCTGCCGGATCCCATGCAATGCCATTGAGGACATCAGGTGCTTCTCGTCCAGCAGCAGCCGCTTCGGCACCAGCACCTTGGATTCTTTGCATGTCGCCGGCAAATATCTGAATTGTAAGTTGCTGTAGCGTCCTCTGCCTGAATCAAATTGAGTCTTGGAACGTCGTCTGTCCAGAATGTCGTGCAACAAGACCCAACCAGTGACAGATCCAGAGGTCTTGTCAATGCGTGCCAGGCAGTCTGTGCCATAGACGTTTGCCCACAATTCATCGCCTGCTGTGTTGACACAATATTGCTTGGATGCGCGATGTATATGTGAGTGTGTTCAATCTGCCTCCAGTTCACACTCAGGACAAAACCCGGCCTATCATCTCCAATTCATTTAGCATTTCAACAAATCGATTGTCATCCATCACACTGACCTTCCACCCCAGTTTTTGTCTCAACACAGTTGCAACCCGAAAGTGAGCAATTGCCACCCCGCTCTGGCTCTGGAATTCTTCCACACCTTGTTTGTCAATTGAATCACCGAGCAGCTTTCTTCTTGATCTCAAAGTCTGCTGGATCCAGAAAAAAGATATCATGGCCGCTATCCTCAACATGACATGCTAAGCAGCCTGCAGGAGAAGCTCATGCTCAGCCCTGCTACTCTCGCACAAGCTACTAGAATGCTCTCGATGGCTGGTGCAACATGGTCCGAGGACGGGAATGCCGTTCCAGCTCTCAGCTGCTGCCAAAATAATATTCCGGATGAGATTCCGTGACGAGCAAATCATCTCCATCAAATTCAATCCTTGGCATCCCGCAATGCACACTAATGGTCAAATATGCTGCAATAAACTAACAGCTCTGATACGTTGGCTCAGGCCTAATTACATAGAGCAGGGAAGGCTCCCCCAGCCATCGTTGAGCGGAGTTCTAAATCTTCCTATTCGCCGCAGCTTTCCCCCTTCACCAGCTTGAGCCTCGTAACCTTAGGGCCAAGAATGATCAAACAGTGCTGAAGTTTCTCAGTGCAAGAGTGTCTTCGCGCGCGAAAGTAGGTGCGGTGTGGGAATGTGGCTGCAGGTGTGGCTGTGTGGTATGTGCTGTTTTGTGTGTATGCAGAAAGTCTCTCTCTCTCTCTCTCTATGTATATTCTATGTATTCATATATATATATATGTGTACATATGT